GGGAACTGTTAAAAGCTCAGCAGAAATATACATTTTGTCGAAAGGTGTTCGACGGGCTCCGGGAGCCAGGTGGCAGTGAGGCCACCGCGCAAATAGGGGCAGCTGGTATTGCTGTCGGTGCGGAGTGCTCTGCAACAGCTGGTAGTGCTGTGAGTGCGCTGGATTCGTATCTGCTGGATTCTGACGGCGTCCTGCTGAAGTACATCCCATCCGACGATGACACAAGTCGTAATACCTCGCACGTTGAGAGGAGCACTTTTTCGCTACTTTAATGACTCGTGCATTGCTGGGCATGCGAGCGACCCTAAGACTTACGCTGAGTTGTGTTACCTCGCTACCTGGCCAGGCATGAAGCTAATTTGCTACGCCCATTCATGTCGTGTGTGCCAAAGTGTCAAGCCACGAGGTGGACGTCCGCCCGGCCTCATGCAGCCGATTAACAGCCAGACCCCCTGGCAAATAGCGGCATGTGACGTAATAGGCCCGTATCCCACAACTCCTCGCAGAAACAAGTTCTTGCTGGTGATCACGAATCACTTCACTAAATAGGTGGAACTTTTCCCCCTTAGGAAGCTGACTGCTCGACTGATTGTAGAGAAGTTGATTGAGGTTTTCACCAGGTTCGGGCTCGCTGAGCAGTTGATTACAGACAACGCGTCATATTTCACTGCGAAGGTGGCTGTTGACACATGTGCCTCGTTGGGCATTAAGGGCAAGAAAACAACCACCTACCATGCTCAGTGGATTCCTATGGGGCGAGTCTATCGCAACAACAAGCACATGCTTGTTGCATTCTCTGAGAGGCATAGCGACTGGGATACCTACCTTCCAGAGATCGGTTTTGCATTGTGATCGACCGTGAACAGATCAACTGGGTATGCGCCTTCTTCCCTGAATCTGGGAAGAGAACTGCTGAATGTGATGGAGACTGTCCTCACGGATCGCAGTGGAGTGCCAGTGGCGACATCATCACTCGCAGAATACGCAACGAAGCTGTGCTAGAAGCTAGCGGAAGCTTTACATAATGCTCGGCATAATCGCAGTAATGCTAGGGCCTAGCAGAAGGCACAGTACGACCGCACGCAACAGAACGTACACTACGAAATGGGCGATCTGGTGCTGCGGCACCATCATGTTTTCAGTGATGCTAGCAAAGAGTTTGCTGCCTGGCTGGCACGGAAATTGTACAAGCCGTACTGAGTGTGAGAGGAAGTTTTCTTGCTTGTTAATCTGCTTGCGAACATTAAAGGCAAACCGCGTTGGGGACCGGTGCACGTATGTGACTTGAAACAGTATGTGTCACGGGAGAAGCACGAGGACTACAGCCAGTCCCCCTCCAGGCCGCAAATGGCGGGTGAGAACACTCGACACAGAGTGAGGAGCCCAGAACCACGTTACTTCCTGTGTAACAGACGAAGACAACTCTCCGCGGCCGGCCGTGTTTGATATATTTGACGCGAGATGCAATGGTTCCCACACAACACATGTGCCATTGTTGACCTGTCCGTTTTTTCTGTGTCGACTTTCATCGAGCAGATGGAGAGTCAAAAGGGAAAGAGGTGCTACCGGAACAGCTCGGAGAGGAAACTGCTCCTTTCGCTGGATCACCCCCAACACCATCCATGTCGGCATCGCGGCCCCACCCAACCAAGCAATGCCACTTCCAATCTACCCCATCGCCCTCATCACCGGGTCTCTACGCAAGAGACGCCAGGTTGACCAATCGCCAGCCCAGCCGAGAGAGCCAGCTGCCTCAGAGCCGCTGTCACAAGGACGAGCCTACCTGGCCGACCCATGGTTGTCCGGGCACCCTTCTGGCCTCTGCTACCTCAAGGCCATGGTGTGGCATGCCGAAGATGAGACTCCCGAGCCTGCCAGACCTGCGGAGCTGTGACACGATGCGGCAGCTCAGACCATGCCTGAGAGGGCGGCCTGGGCCAGGGCTGAATAAGACCCGTCACTAACTGGCAACTCTCAGTCACCACCAACGACCTGAGTGGCGGGGGTCAACGAGGTGTGGTCCGCACTAGAGAGTACTACGGAAGCCAGATCCACGACGGCAGTAACCGCGGCGAAAGCGACAGTGGTGGGGATGACTGGCCATGATGCAAGTGGGCATGGCAGCAGTGGTGGTGGCTACTTTGGATGCAGCAGCGACAAGGGGGGCACCAGCGGCACCTATGGCAGAGGGCCAAACGCAGGAGGGCATGGATTGGGACCCCACCGTTTTAGCCTTCCTCGATAATGAATAACAAAATGTTCTCATGTTTCAGTCTCTGTTGTTCTGGGGTCCTTTTAAGGGGGGGGGGGGGAGGATCTAGGGGGCACGTGCGCCTAGTGACCCCTTTTCCTTCTGACAGCGCGACAGCCTAGTTGTGGGGACATGACTGTCGTTTTGAGACACGAGTCAATAAAGCCTCTTGTGAAGAGATGGAACACCCTCGCGGCCGGCACTCGTGATCCTCCTTTCCTGGCGCACGAAACGCGTTTACCCTCCCTCAATGAGAGAACGTATTCTTGTCTGGGAAGGGAAACCGGGATGGTGAAGAAAACTAGCGTGCCGACGACCGGATGCTCGCTCTGACACCAGCCTCGAAAGAAGGAGATCGAACCTGGAACCCCTTGCGAGCCAAGGACTATAACGACCGAAGTGTAAGCGTCTACACTTTTGTTATCTGAAGTCTCTCTTCGCGACAGTTACGCGTTATTGCTAACATATAGCAATAAAATGTTGCTGTTGACCTCGCCTGTTTCCTTATTCGCCTGAACCCGTGTAGCTGCGATGACTCAAGCTACGGATAGGGGACGTTAATCGGGCACGGTACGACTGTGTGTGGTTGGAAAATTAGCTAGGCTTCTGTGTCAGCCATATTCTGCGTCATCCGTACATAGGACGGACTCCCTACAACTCTCGTGGTTCTTAGCGTGTCACCGAAGTGCAGTGGTTGTAACTTTTGACAGCGCATATGTAACCTTTCAGGATATACATACATTCGGTGTTTTTATACAAAGATATATATCTGAAAATTGCCTCGTATTCATTAAACTAACAGCCACTTTGAATGAATCAGTGCTTTGAATTGAGCAAGCGATGAGGATCAAGTGATATTTCATGAGACTTTTGCCTCGTTGTCGTGTTTTGTTTTGTGTTGATTTATCACTACTGTGCCGTAGCGTGTTCTAAGTTCGGTTGGTCATGCAATGTGGTTTCCCAGTCCTTTACTCTGTTGTGTACCTTACTCAAGCTGTGTTTTCCCTGTCCCCCATTATTGTTTCCCTGATTATTGTTTTCACTGCACCCTGCGGCGGCGGCATCAACACGTGACTCAAGAAGTTATCTTTTCGTGCTCATAACGCATTGATATAAAAAACTTGACTTTTTCACGCTTTTACAGCTTGCGCAAGTTTTGTACAGCATTGTGATAAAACCGCTCTTTCGCCGTCACGCTAGCAAACATCTATTGGTAGTGCTGAAGTCTCTGTTGCATGCAACAGGTGTGTGCTTTGATTTTTTCAAGCTGTCAGGAGCTGCGTGTAGCTCTGCCTGTTTGGCACATCACCTCTTCACTTTTAGTCATCTCATTGCCTGTATAAAAGAAATTGGCAAGCATTTCACTCATTGAGCTTCCGTATTACCTTCTGGCATGTATCGAGAAAGAGGCGGCCAGCATTGCATCATTATTCATTGCAGCCATGTTGAAAGGGCTCACGCACAGTGTCGATGCATCCTCAACAGTCTCCAGCTCGGCTGACGGTTCTCAGCAACGCTTGGTGGGCGTGCGAGCTATCTTTTCGCACTATACAAATACGCTGTGAGGCCGTGGAAAACCCTCGGCACAGCATCGGCTAAAAGTTTCAGAACGTCACGCGGTGAGTTCACAACACCTCCGATTAGCCACTGGTCCATGTGAACGATGTTACTTTCATCGAAGTGCTTTTCGCACACGTGCACATTTGCGAAAACAAATATGAAACCCCCAGTTTCTTGTCATGGCATTGCGCGCTTGCACTTTTCCACTGTTCGCTGTTTCTTGGCAGCGAGAACTTAGAGACTTTTGCCTCATTTTTTTTGTAGCAAGATCAACAACCTGGTAAAGAGCAAGTATACGGCATCCTTCCCAATCTTCAGGCACAGCACACTAGGCACAATAGTAATCGTACATCATAAACTGCACAATGACACACCACAATATTATGCATTGACCCCATAGCAGCACCAGCAGCCAGCTTCTCTATGGTCTGCCAATGCCCGGTAATGCAGCACCACCCCGCGGCCTCCACTTGCAGCGCACCAAGCTCTCCCATGGAGTTACGGCGAAGCTTCACAGCCGGTATAAGTATTGATGGACTCTGGTAAAGCTTGGATGATACAAATCTAGTGGCATCACTAAAAATATTCGTTTCACCTAAAATTCTTGAAATTGCCAGAAAATATGGAAAATCAGTATGCAGCAAGAGAAAGTTGGCGTACACTTTTGTTTATTGTTTTTCATAACGGCAGTCATGTTATAAACCTGACCGACTGCCAGCTAAAGTTCTTTATGTCAGCGTTCATACTGGTATGTATATATTTTTAATACCGCTGCCTTAAGAAAAAACAGCCTAACGAGTCACGTAGGACAGCAACTACCAGGGTGCATCATGGCTTGCAGATGCTGGGCAGTAAAAACGTAAAAATCAAACTAAAATATTTTATACTTGTTTCCTTGCTCCGCAGGGGAGAGAGCTTTAACACTGTCTGCCAAGGAAATGTAAAATATCTTTATTATGCTGCCTCAAATCATGTCACTACTTTAATTGGTTTTCATTTAAGTAAATGCATGGGCTGAGAGTGTGTGCCTGACCTGTTTCTTATGTTCTTTTACATTAATGGCACTTTGTGCGCAGCTACAAAATATCGCTCAACTCATTTTAGTGTGGCAGTTTTGCCAACTCTGCTTGTAGTGATGCCTGCGAGGCTATTCTTTCGTGAGAACAAAAAAAAAAAAAACAATTAACAGTCTGCAGGTTGCCAAGTTCATAGAATACACGCAGCCTCTCATCTTGCACCTCGTGGAGAAGAGGTCGGGCTACTGGGATCCCCACATTAGGACGCTGTGCTCGCAAGCGCTGTTCAAGCTCACCGTGGGCGATCCCGGCTTCGTGAGGGAGACCTGCGTGCCCAAACTCTTGGCCACATTGCACAGCCGAAACCTGAACTCCAGACTGGGAGCCCTACTGTCTCTCGGGGAAATCGTGCACTCGCTTTGCGAGCTGGGCAAGAAGAGGGGTGAAAATGTCTACGATGCCTTGGGTAAGCTCCTCTGCTGTATTGATCCAGTAAACTAGAATGCTGGCGAGCCAATCACGTTTATCCTAAGTTATGCTAGCCTCAACTCTAGGCCAACCCCTGGAATTTAGACAGGTAAAAAACACTGTTACAGGGTGTAAGCCGAATAAAACAATTTGCTCAATATCTCCTCTAAGAATTGTTTAAGCCAGAGGTCTCAAACTCACTTCAGCTAGCGGGCCGCATTCACGGAAATTTAGTTCCGCAAAGGCCGGGGCTGTGAAGAAGGTTGAAGCAAGTGGGTAGTAGGCTGGTCTTTAACAAAGTGTCATGTAAAACTGCTATATAAAATAATTCATTATCCATATCTCATATATGGATAATGTCTGACGGGCGTTCATATTTAGGATTTGAAAAATATATTGATACTCGGGGTTCTGCCCCCCCGGCATGTTGTGGTGGTTTTAGCCGCTCACCTCTCTGACCGACTGCCCGCCTATGTTGTAGCAGCGCATTACTGCCCACCTCGGAGGATTCAAGCTTGCTGTACGCAGGCCACGAAGGAAACATTCTATGAACGAACCCATCAGTCACCCCTCACTTGCAAGCTTTAGTCCGTCCGCAAGATGTTTTGCATTAACGTTATAACAGATACCATGGGCATAAACGCAAGAGGCTGGTTAGGTGGTGCCATCTGGTCGGGCCGACATGAACCAGGCAAGCATGGAATTGTTATTGCAGAAACGCAGTGCATTCCACTTTTCTGGTGGTGTTACAAATTTGCTGCAGTGGCCTAATATCGACCGAGTCAACTTTTCTCTCTTCAGGAGACCAGGGAAAAACAAATGTAAGTGCAATTGTGGTTGCACAAAGCGTCACAATATTATCGGCCAGTAACACGGTCCGGCATTTTGTATATTAGAATATAGAACAAGCTAAAAGCTATGCCTGTGCGAATATTCGAGCACTTTAATAATGTCACCATTGATGAAGGAGCCGCTGTGACTCATACTCGTTTTTGACTGAGAAGAAGAAGAGAACAATTTCGTTGCTCTGGTTCAGGTGAATGCCTGGCTGTAGATATTGTTTTGCACGTGACATTACTGATGGAGATGCTGGGTACGTGTACTTCTGCTGTGTCGGCCATCTTGGAGACAGATACATCTCCCAAAGCAAGAAGCAGCCACTGCCTGCGTGGGTTACCCCCTGAATTTGGTCTCTTGGCATCGACACCTAGAAAGATGGCTACTCCGATCACAAGCCAGGCGGTCCAAACCAGCAATGCCCATGATTCTCTTCTCGTGCATGTTTTTCATGCACCGCAGACACCGAAGCCGTTCCATGGAGACATCTTCGAGGATGTTGATGACTGGCTCGACCACTTTGATCGGGTAGCCAGTATCAACGAATGGGACGATGTTCGTAAGCCGCGCCGAGTTTACTTCTACTTGGAAGATTCTGCGAAGACGTGGTACGAGAACCACGAGGGCTTCTTTGCAACCTGGCAAGAGTTTAGCCGACAGCTCGGTGATGCCTATCGCAACTCCGACAGGAAGGAAAGGGCTGAACGAGCCATAGCCTGTTGAAACCAGTGGCTGAACGAACGAGTATTCATGTTTGTCGAGAACATGCTTCGGCTCTTCAGGTGCGCGAATCCTGCCATGCCGGAGGAAAAAAAGGTGCTGCATTTGTGTAAAAGAACAGCTTTTCACTGGGCTCGTGCACAATCCATTGACGACAGTCGCCGAGTCTATCAGTGAGGCAACCACGATGGAACGTACTCTGCAGCAGCGGTCGTCACAATATGAACGCCAGATCCTGACCACCGCATGTTCTATTGGCTCTTACAGCGAGAGACAGGCCCTCGCAGACTTCATTCTAAGTATTGTTCGGGACGAATTGCGACAGCTTCGGGTAGTGGGATCCCATCCACCTGTGTCAGCCCTCGCGGATGTAATCATACAAGAAGTCCGGCAGGCCATCACACCCCTGGTCCCAATTGCGCGAACAATTCCCGAGGTCCCAGTCCTGACGTACGCAGCGGCATTGCGATCCCCTGCACCACCGGCTACAGATCCTGCTATGCGGCCAAGGTACCAGGCTATGCAACCATTCCAGGACACTGCTTCGCGAGCCCGCCTCTCGGCTCAAGGTTTCTGAACACACCCTCCTATCTGCTGTCTATCTCAAGACAAAGTGTTAGCAAGGCAAGCATGTGGCGCACCTCAAATAACCTTCCTCTCTGCTATCACTGCGGCGGAGTGGGTCACGTATACCGGAACTGTCAATACCGGCAACTAGGTCTCCGCGGCTTCCACCCTGATGCTCGATGCCCACGCTACGGTGAGCGCCCCCGCGAAATCGAAGCCTATCTCACAGGCCAGCGAACTCCTTCGACTATTCAGCACCACCAGTCGAGATCACCATCGCCTCGCCGGTCTACATCACCCAGTTTGCCCTCATCATCTGCCTCTCCTTTCACGAGCCAGTTACCAAGTCCCCGCAAGGGAAGCTAGGAAGGGTTGACTTCTGGGGGTGAAGCCGCAGTCGGCGAACTGTAAAAGACCTTCCTTCGACGCAACCACCCGACGAGGATCATTCCGGGGATTGCGGTGTTCTCCGACAGCAGAAAGATCGTTTCTGCCGAAATCGCCGTCTTCGTCGACAATCATGTTGTCAACGCCCTCGTTGACGCCGACTATTCCGTAATGAGCGCCATACTGGCATCTGAACTGAGGAAGGTTACCACACCGTGGCAAGGACCCCAGTTGCGCGCGGCAGGTGGCCATCTGATGATGCCTACTGGTATGTGCACGGCACGCATTCGAATACGTACATTGACATTTGCGGGTTCTTTCCTTATATTGTGCGTGTGTTCTCGGCCAGTCATTCTAGGAATGGACTTCCTTCATGAATACGGCGCCATCATTGATCTCTGTGAATTACTTGTGTCGTTTGAGGATCCTTTTTGTGCTGCAACTGACAGCATGCAATTCCAGAAAAGAGCGCTCCGTGTTACCGACGATTCTCTGACTCTCCCACCTCGAAGCGGCCTCTTTGTCAAAGTAGAATTGGGACAGGACGTGTCTGACGCAGTGATTGCAATGGCTAATTTGTCTCTTCTTGTTTTACGACAAATCTGTGTTGCCCAAGGAATCGTTCAACCTAGCAACAGGCATGTTCACCTGCTGGTCACGAACTTCACCGAAGAATATCGCTATCGAACGCGAAACACTGCCATTGCATATTTTGCAGAACTTGCCTATGCCAAAGGTTTGTCCACGTTAGCTTCATTTTCATCAAATGGCCACCCTGGCGAGGCCTTGGCGAGCACTCTCGAGACGTAAACGAGAGACTACCTTTGGCTCAACGAGAAAGCCTTTTGCGTATACTCGGCTCATTTCAAGACTGCTTTGCCACTACGTCAAAGGTTAAACAGACACCGCTTGCTCAGCATTGTATCATCACGGAACCCACAGACCCATCCGACAACATGCCTATAAGGTTTCGCAAAAAGAGCAAGACACTATACATGACCAAGTCGAGCAGATGCTTCAGGACAACGTCATTCAGCCATCGACTAGTGCCTGGGCTTCGCCAGTTGTGCTAGTAAAGAAGGATGGTACGTTACGTTTTTGCGTTGATTACCGTAAACTGAAGAAGGTCACAAAAAAAAAACGTTTATCTTCTACCCCGGATAGATGACTCGTTGGACCGTATAAGCAATGCTAAATATTTTTACTCCATGGATTTGCGTAGCGGCTACTGGCAAATCGCAGTGAATGAGCGCGACCGCGAAAAGACGGCTTCTTATTACTCCCAACGGCCTGTACGAGTTTAAAGTGTCGCCTTTCGGTCTATGGTCAGCGCCAGCTACTTTCCAAAGAATGATGGATACGGTTCTCACGGGGCTCAAATGGCAATCATGTCTTGTATACCTTGATGACGTCATGGTCTTTGCAGAGACGTTTTAACAACACGTCTAACGCCTTCAGGCAGTCCTTCAGGCAATCAATCAGAACAGGGAAGCTTTCTCTCAAACCCGGGAAATATCATTTCGGATATGAAGAACTGAAGTTTCTTGGTCACGTTGTGAGCCATGCGGGCACCCGCCCAGATCCGGAGAAAACCCGCGTCGTTGCCGCCTTTCCCGTGCCAACAATAAGTGCGGCCTACGCCGATTTCTGGGGCTCTGTGCGTATTACAGGTGCTTTGTCAAAAACTTTTGGAAGATTGCTGAACCCTTTAACAAGCTTACAAAAGATGGTGTCTCGTTTTTTTGGGGTCCCGATCAGTGCCATGTGTTCGACATCCTCCGAAACCTTCTCTAGGCTCTGCCTGTACTGGGTCATTTCGACGAAAGCGCCGACACAGAATTACACTCTGACGCCAGCAACGTTGGACTAGGAGCGGTATTAGTTCAGTGGCATAATGGCGTAGAGCGCGTGATCGCTTATGCGAGCAAAATGTTATCCCCAGCGGAGAAAAACTATTCTGCAACCGAAAAGGAATGCCTCGCTGTTGTCTGGGCCATAACAACATTCCGCCCATACTTTTACGGCTGCCCATTCAGGGTAGTTAGCGTCCACCATTCCCTTTGTTGGCTCGCGAATCTCAACGATCCCTCGGGTCGTCTAGCACGATGGAGCCTTCGGCTACAAGATTTCGATGTCACCATCGTCCACAAATCTGGGCGGAAACACACCGACGCTGACTGTCTTTCATGTGCACCGGTGAAAAATGCCAACACTACCTTGAAGACGACGACACTTTTCTTTCTGCCGTATCAGCAACCAGCTTGGCTGAGCAACAGCGTCATGACTCGGAGCTCATCCCACTCATGGACTACCTGGAAGGGCGCAATTCCCACACTCATCGAAGCTTTGCAAGCTCGCTATCCTCCTTTTGTTTCTGCGATGGAGTGCTTTATAAAGAGAACTTTCATCCTACACAAGCTATGTATCTGCTTGTTGCACCAACTACGCTTCGTGGTGACATTTTACGTGCGTGTCATGATGAGCCATCGTCCGGACACCTTGGCTATATGCACACGCTGCAACGGCTTCAACGCTCCTACTACTGGCCACATCTCGCAAAGACTGTGAAGCACTACGTTCGCAGATGTCGAGACTGTCAGCGACACAAGATTCCACCTTTACGACCAGCGGGACTACTGCATTCAATAGGCCCACCAAAGGCGCCCTTTCATCAGATTGGCATGGACTTGCTGGGGTCATTCCCCACGTCTTCGTCTGGAAACCGGTGGATTGTGGTCGCTACTGACTACTTAACATGCTACTGTGAAACAAAGGCACTTCCAAAAGCCACCGCAACTGACGTCGTCCAATTTTTCGTTAACAGCATCGTCTTACATCACAGTGCGCCAGCTGTCGTCATAACTGATTGTGGAACAGCTTTCACCTGCATAGATGCTGCAGGAGGTCTTGCAATTAAGTAGCACAGAACATCGTAAACCAAGGGCTTACCGCCCGCAAGTAAACGGGCTGACTGAACGACTCAATAAGACAATTGCAGAAATGTTGTCAATGTATGTGGACATCGATCACAAGAACTGGGACGCCATCCTTCCTTACATAACTTTTATGTATAACACTGCTGTTTAAGAAAGTACCGGTTTCACACTTTTTCGCTTAGTCCAAAGTCGTGAGGTCACGACGATGCTCGACGCCATGCTCCTGCCCGACAACTTAGGAATATACCACACGGATGCCGCCAAATTTGCGCAGTGCGCAGAAAAAGCCCGTCAACTTGCTCGTCACCGTATTCAATATCACCAAAACGAAGACGTGCGCCGCTACAATCTTCGTCACCGTGAAGTTAGTTTCAAGCCTGGTGATGAAGTCTGGGTGTGGACCCCTATAGTCTGGGTGTGGACCCCTAGACAAAGCCGAGGAGCTTTATTTGACGCTACGGAAACCCAGTTCACTATGTGCCTTGAGAGAATTAGACACGTCAAAAACATTTCAAAAGAGACACTCGCCCTATACTGTTCTGAGCAACGCCTCAAATGCTTGCAGCATTTCTTTACAGCATAAAGTTTTACGAGGTCACAGCAGCAGCAGATTTTTAGTGGCATAGTTGCCCACCATTGTCGCTGTCGGTTTCACCTGTTGCACATATTGAGAAGAATAGGGAAAGAAGTTACAGCATATTCACGGACTGAATGATGATGAGTAGGGCAAAGCATCCGTCTGTCCGTTCGTGTATCCATCCGTATGTGCGTCTGTCTGTCTGTACGTTCGTCCATCTAATGAACACCACAAGTACAACTATTATCTCGCGTCTTTTTATTATAAAACGATTATACACAAGTACCGCCATCTAGCGGACATTCCAAGAACTAAACAAAAGGTGGCTACCTACTGCATACATCGAGGACGCACGACCCACGGCTTAACGAGCTTTGACATTTCAAGAACTAAATGAGAGGTGGCTACGGGTTTTGAGGTGGATTTGTAACCAGGCTTTCTGTGGGGGCAAGCAAGATCTCTACCACAAAGCCACACCAGTGTTTAATTATCTTTTGGCAAAATACCCTATACAAGCACCGAGGAGACATGTTGGCAGATGTAATATTCTGTGGCAGAACAGTGAAATTGGACCAGGCGTTAATTGTGTAATGAGAGAGTTTAAAGTTTCTCGCCAAATAAAAAGGGCTGTCTTAATTCATCATGCATCACAGCAACAACAAGGTGTGCAGGTTTGCCCAGTGCCTTAGAGATGTACAGTAGGTGCGTTACTACTTCGCAAAATTAAGATTTATTGCGTAGTGCGTACCTTGTGTCTGTACCTGCAGTAGGCCCCTTAAGGAAGTAGAGTGGGCTCTATGAAGAAGTCTGCTCAGCCAGATTATAGCTTATGGTATTTTGCATTCTATGCACCTTATATTTCGAAAGTGTTTCAAGTTCGAGGTTGCTGGTAATGCTTCCTCGATGCGAAACAGCATGAAAAACGTGAAGCAGTGTGAAACAGAGTTTGTTCCCATTTGTTTCTTTCTCTGTCCTCGTTTTTCACGCTGCTTCGCATCGACGCCGTCTATTCATTTCTTTTTGCATTCATTCATATGTTTACTAATGTTTCAGATGTCTACACTTCTTTTCTGTGGCCTGATAAGATCGGTAACAGCTTTCGTTCATCTTGTGGTGCCAACTTTTTATGGTCAGCAGTGTCTGGCAGTTGCTGTGAAATCACATGCTTGAATCCAAACATTATTTTTTAAACATAATTACAGTACCCAAATGCAACTTCATTCAGTAGGTTGGTATACAGATATTTAAAAAATGTTCCCCGCCACCTATGCACTGCATCTATCTCTTTGCAATACCCATGCCTGGCGAGGGCCTTATAGGTGAAAAAAGTGTTGTTTTCCAATACCCATGCCTGGTGAGGTCCATACCAATGAAAAAAAGTGTTGTTGCTTGTGTACTTTACTTGAAGGTAAGTACCGCATTTACATGATTGTCGACTCGATTGTAGGCTAACCACCGCATGAAAAAAAAAAAAAAAACGAGCATGAGCACATTTTATTTTAAAAAAGTCAACGCATTGTCAAGCCATCGATGTGCGAAGGTGGCTTCATGGCAGAACTGTGCAGCAAAGCTAGCTTTGTCGAAATATGCAAAGATAATTTTCAAAAAAACTTCTCAACCGAAACTGTTTTCGTATCTATGTCGACACCCCCATCATTGGATTGTGAAATTTGAAAAAAAATGGGTCGACTTGCAATCGTGTAAGTACGGTTGTTGCTCATGATAATAGTGTATCTCGTAAAAAGTGCTTGATCTATGTAAACTATGAAAAATTTTGCATGTAGAGGTTCTATTCCCATTTTATTTTATTATGTTTTTTGCAAGTATTTCAGCCAGAGATGATTTAAGTGAATGCCTTTTTCTCACTTCTCTAGGTATCGACACTGTGGAAGCAATGAAGGAGCTGGCCTCGAAGTACATAGAAGACAAAGTTTTTCAAGTTCCTGGAGGAGATTCAATGAAGGAAGCATTTTGCCTGTTCATATACAAGCTGTCCAGTGTTAACTTTCCTGTTCACCAGTCAAGGCCTATTCTTGGTAAGCACCAAAGTGAAATAGCAGAAGGGAGAGATTTCAATAAGAACTCGAGGTCTCATGCTTGATATTGGGCAGTGGCATTCCAACATTTTGATATGTGAAGACTCTAGTGCGCAGCTTGTACTGTCCTTCACTGGCAGAGCTGGTGTGGTCGCCGAAACCCTGTGGGGAGTCCTCAGATTGCAATATTTGAAATGTCTCAGTAGAAGGCAAGAATGCTTCATACGAAACCACTCCAGAAGTTTTTTATGCACACTCAAGTGGAACCAGCTCTAAAAAAATTCCGCCATATCCATGAAGTGAATGATGATGAGTGGGCGAAGCTCCGGAGGTAAACCTGGTAAACCATGAATGCTCTGTACATTTTGCCCACTCGATTTTATTACATCGCTCCCCCTAGCGTACGTCGCCGCACTAAATCGAACGATTGCCTTCAACCAATGACACGCGCCATATGTGACATCATTCCTATTTTGTAAGATCTCGCGTCTTTCATCAACTACAAGTACCACCATCTAGTAAACACTACAAGAACTAAACGAGAGGTGGCTACATACAGGAGACGGTACCGCCATCTAGTGAACACTGCAAGAACTAAACTAGAGGTGGCTACATACAGGGGACGGTACCGCCATCTAGTGAACACTGCAAGAACTAAACTAGAGGTGGCTACATACAGGCTACAGGGGACGCACAGCCCACGCCCTAAGGAGCTTCGCCCCTAAAAACTGCCTCGCTTCCACCCCACCAGATTTTGTGGCATGAATAAAAGTTACAACTGATGGATCTTACAAAAAATGCTTACACGACGAAAAAAAGAAAAATGCTCCATCATTATGCTTGCTCTCTCTCCTCTGAAATCTATGCCTCAATAGTAGCACGTGTAAGACCTATTTATAGTAGGGCAAGATTGACCCATTGATCTGAAATGACGAGTTTAATACTCCAGCCAGATAAACAAGTGACAGTGATGTGATGGCTGTGCCAATTGCGCCAAACTTCGTCAAGAGGTGGAACCTGCTACATTATGCTACCTAAGATGTTGCATTATGCTACGTAAGATGTTGCAATGTACCAAGCATGTGCCAAGGCATTTTTTTTTATGTTCTTTCGGTGAGAAACATGATGATAGACACTCGAAATTTATAAATTACCGTGTTAATTTCGAGCGGTCATCAAGATGGACAAAAAAGTGCTATATAGTGGAAGTAGTCGCTGGGCGCAAGCCTTCGAAACAATGTCAATTAGCCTATGTTGCAGAACTTACACATACACTCATATCTCGTTATAACGTAATGGGATTTAATGAAATAATGGATATAACAAAGTAAATGAAATTCCCTTTGAAAGCTTCATTGAGAACCATGCATTTTTAACCTCATTGTAACAAAGTGAAATTGACCGGTAAATAGATATAACAAACTAAATTAGTCTATAAAATAGTCTATAAAAAAAAAAACTGACCGTAGTGTGTTAAGTATATCGTTTTCTGCGGAGTTTGACGCTCGTTCGGTGCGACATTTTCAAAACTCCCGCCACCGACCTTACAGCCACGCCACGCCACGCCCGGCCGAGAAATCCCTCTTCACAAGCCAGCGAAGAGGATTGAGGAAGTGCTCAGCAGGTCACATGACCGAGAAGCTTCGCCGCAGTACAAAGCGGTTTCCCTCTCACTTATAAGAACACGTGATGGGGAAGCTTCAGAAGACTTGCATTTATTCACAAATCAGAGGACATCCGTCATTAATTGAAGTAGTCGGTGATGCACGACTGTACACGTTTGCCTCGCAACCAATTAATCAATTTCGCACATAGTTTGCAAAGCATAGTAGCGCGGCTAAGTCCAGCGCCAGCACTCTCTAAAGACGACAGCAACGACTGCGTCTCCACTGCTACCCTCTGCACCGAGAAAGGAGGACTCGCCCCGACAGCTTTCTTTTTTTTTTCCTCTTCCTCTCTCTTCGTGCGCGGCCTTGTAAGGAGAAGGGTTCTACGTGCAGAGACGGAAAAGGGAGAAGCGTGGCACAAACGCGTTGCAGATCGGCATTTGAGAGCAAGTAAACTATTCGGCACAGTCTTTTCTTTCTTTTTCTTTTTTGCTTCTTCGTGCGCAGCGTTGAGAGGTGCTGCCTTGAGATTGGGCATGGTGCTGAAAGCATTTTCGGAGTGCGGTATGTTCAAAGTAACCGTCGAAAGTGCTTGCACATTCGAATTACTACAGGGCATTTTCACCCATTGGAATACACATAGCTTTGATGGGACCACAGTGCGAATTCAAATTAACCAGAAGTTCGAATTGAGGTGTTCGAATTAATGAGATTTCACTGTGTTTATTTTCCATCGCACTCGCGGTCGCGTAGTGGTAGATCGGGCTGCGAGGGGGTTTCCTTCTTTGCATGATTATAGGTGTGCGCCCATCTGAGCATACATTGCCACAAACTGTTATAATCGATATAACGAAACAATGGATATAACGAAATAATTGTGGCTCCCCTTCAAGTTCGTTATAACGAGGTTTGAGTGTATAGATTTCAACTCGCCCATACTACAGAACTTGCTTCTTTAGTTTTCTACTATACCATACTGTAACATTATTGAGTTCAATAAAGTAGTTTTTGACTGTTTTATTGAACATAACAGTTTGTTTGTTTATTGAACAATAAAACAGTTTTTAACTGTTTTATTGAACTCAACACAAAACGTGGGATCCTCGGTCAGTGCCAGCTGTTGTCATGGCGGTGAGTGTGGAACACTCTTCTTGCCTGTTTTGCAACACGTAGTAAGTGATCTTATTACGAGATGGCAGCGGGCCAATTATCCTTCCCACACCTCTTTAAGGCTTGAAGTCTGCCAGAACGAGACCCTCGCTATGAATTAAAAAAAGAAGTGACGGACGCTCCCACGTTTAATTCACATATATACCCAATAAAGTGGATAGGAGGATAGCCACCGTGGTAGCTCGGTTGGTAGAGCATCGGACGCGTTAGGGTACACAAAAGTCGCAGGTTCGGTCCCTGCCTGGGGCAAGTTACCTTTTCATCTACTTTTCTTTCTTCACATTTACATACAATTTCGTCATACTACATCCCCTATACTTTTCTTGGCATAGTTTTCTGTTAGATCTCATTAATGTTGTGTCCAACAAAGAAAATGAGTGCTTAATTGTACACATATTGATTGAAGTAGTTCAGTACATGTATGTAAAACCGATCGTTTATTTCATTTCTTTCTTTTAATTTATAGTGCTGTTTTCTCTAGTCAACTTCATAGATATTTTATGCAGGGTGCCTAATTTTTAAGGCCATACTGCGGGCAGATTTTACTAACAATGCCACGTGCTGAACAGTGACTTCTGCTTTGCTGAGAAGGCATGGTGTCCCAGTATGGCAGTATATCTCGGCTCGGCTTCTCAACCTTCGTGCCTCACATGCCAGACAGCTTGTAAAATGTAAATGCGCACTCCCCCTCCGTCACCACTGTAGATTTTATCAAGCACACATTAAACAACCGGAACAAGGGACCAGTTACTAATTCCTGTTTCTTATTAACTGTTTATTAACAATGCCCATAAAGATTCATTCTGTACATAAAATGCACACTTCTCCACACGTTGAGGGACTAGGTTGTACTAAAAGCACAAACATAATCAGACTTCTTTTTGAAAAGCAAGTAGAATACGTGAAAAATTTCGACAGAGCGCGCTTCCGGTATAGTATCTAAAGCATCAGGGGAAGCCAGAGGAATTGGCAAATAGCAAGTGAATTCCTGGGAAGTGTTGGGTGGCTTGAGCTAACTTGAGGGTGTCTGCAGAAACAAGAGCAGTGGCCTAATTTTACGTTTTGGGGTGCTCCTTGTGAACATGCATGCATGCGTGCACAAATGGATTTCCTTTGACATGTGGTGCAGCAGCAGCTCCGGCTGAGTGACAAATGTTTGCGGCCGAAGATTTGTGGCAAGCAACTGCTTCAAAGTGTTGTTTTGCTGCTCAAGAGTGAGATTCTAGTTGCTCCGGTAGCTGTGCCAAAATGGCTTTAGTCAATCACATCAATGCAGTGTAGAATGTTAATCAATAGAGGTGCAGCAATTAGTTGGGCAGCTCTACCTAGACTCCAGGCTTTTGTGCTGGCTCCTGCCCATGCACACATCTAGTATGTGTGCCAAAGAACACACTATTTTAATTTTTTTTTTCTTTCTCGGCTGCATGAACCGAGGCTGATTCTGGACTGAGGCTGCACTTGTTGGACATTCGCATGTTTAGCGTAGCACCTCAAAATTTTTGGCTCTGCTTGTAGACAGCCAGGCGGTATTTCTTCGCAGCACTCATAGACCTGGATTTTGACTGTATGAGCTTGTAGTTGTCCAAGTCGCATGATTTTAACTCTCGATCGCATCACTGCAGTTATGTACCTCAATGTAAGCAAAATTTTTCGGCAATTTCGCGCCTAGTGCAAGTTTTTACTTTGCTTTTCCTTGCAGAAAAGTGGCTGTTTGTGATAACCCGTTGCCTTCTTCGTGACGAAGCCAGCCTCAGGAACAGTGCCTGTATGGCGTTGTCGCCATTCATAGAAGAGTACTGCAAGGAGGAGATTGAGTTTTGTGACAAACTCGTCACGAACTTTCTTGAAGAGCTGAACTCTGGAACAGAAGGAGTTTGTTGCAACTTTGCGCATGCACTTGGTGAGTATGGAGACACGGTGGTAGTTAGTTTGTTTGCTGATTGGAGTGGTGAGCAGCCTACACTGATTGCACCAATCTGCATGAATTGGAAATTGTTGCTCCACATGGCACCAAAAAAGTCTCTTTTGCCAAATTTGTGCCATTGTTGTGCCACAACGTGGTTTTCGTACCGAAAGCATCCTTTGTGAGCAGGAGTAAGTCATGATTGCCATCTTGTATACATGCGCTGCTGCATTTGTTAATGACGCTGCCCCGCCGCTGTGGTCTAGTGGCTAAGGTACTCGGCTGCTGACCCGCAGGTCACGGGATCGAATCCCGGCTGCGGCGGCTGCATTTTCGATGGAGGCGAAAATGCTGTAGGCCCGTGTGCTCAGATTTGGGTGCACGTTCAAGAACCCCAGGTAGTCAAAACTTTCGGAGTCCTCCACTACGGCGTGTCTCATAATTATATGGTGGTTTGGGGAAGTGAAACCCCGCATATCAATCAATCGTTAATGGTGCCACCAGTGCCCCAGCCGCTGCGACAGCCGATGTCAGTGGCAACACCGCAACATTAGCTTTCTACGAGCAGGGCCGGGCATAAATACCTCAAAATTGTATCACGATACAATACTAGATACTTCAGCATGAAGTATTTGATGTGCAGATACAAGGTACTACCATAATGATTGTTTCCAATATGATACCTCCCAATTGTATTTGAATGGTAGTCTAACTGCACCAATTGTGCCATATTGCTACTCTTCCATATCCCTGCGCCTTGCTCTGCACATTCGAGTACAGCTTGTGCCAATTGCCCCAAGTTCACTAGTCCACCTGCTTGCACGTTACTGGATTGTTTGTGGCCATATTCTCGGTCTGGTGGCAAACACAGCTAGAGCTTTTTGGTAATGCCACCAATGCCCTCTTCTCCTTTCATCCCAGCGATTATTTTGACTATATATCCAGCCTAAGCAAAGTCTCTGTGCTGTCGTGTGCTTCTCCATGGTTGAAAGGGTAACATTCTGTAATACTCTATTATTTATTAGGGAACTGGTAACAATACGTAGAGAAGTGACCTTTTTTTTTTTAGGCGAGTCACTCCACGTGCCGTAATGTAGCCACTCTGGCCAAGCAGCAACAGCTATAGGCTCTGCGCTGTAGCGTCTCCATGCAAGCGAAGATTTAGCCATCAGAAAGTTTGTTCAATACTTTGCAAAAGAAGTGAATGCCTCTGAATATAGATAGCTGTGGAACATTTTTTAGCATGCCTATCGTAATTCTAAGCCTGAATTGAACGTAGAGTGTGTCTAACACATCTGCTCGCACGCGTCCATGCTGCCACCTTATCCATGCGTTTGTTGCGCATGTTAATTGCAAAACTGATGTGACACTATGTCAAGGCAGCCCACGTAGAAACTGAGCCGCGCAGTTGGTCATAAATAAAAAACAGTGTCATGAATTCTTAACGATGTTGGAATAATTAGCATTGTCATTAATAGACAATAGACGTCTATGAAGTTTCCCCGGCCTGCAAATCTGCCCATTTGAATCCCCCGCATTTGTTGAAAACTATAATTGTGAGCGTGCTCAGTGCAGCCCCGTTTCTTCGCAGATTACACATTGATTAACATTCCGCCACACTGCCGCAGGAATCTCTAGCTATTCGCGTATTACGTAACCCTGCAATGCGGTAGCTTAAGTCCAGAGTGCAATGCAAAACTGCAAGTTAATGGGGAAGAAACTGGATGTAGACGCATTAGTCTTCAGCACTTGCGGAACCCAAAAACATCTTTTCTGCTCCCCATCTTAACACCGCTTTCAATGGCTTATTTAAGGTGATGTGTTTGCGGGAAAGGACGGTGTTTAGCTGGGAGCCCTGCCCTCTTCCACCTCCAAAATAACGGGTCGCACTGCTTCCACCTAACTAGTCAGTTACCCTCTGTTATCTGGCCTGTTTATGGGATCCTATGTTTATTCCCTAACTCTGTAAGTAGCACGAGGACTCGCTCTCGCCAGTCGCATCTTGACACCAGTGGGAAATTTGTGAACTCAAGGTTTCGCTGAAGCCAATGTTCCGGCAAGTGGAGCAGTCTTCCTCTGGACTGTCTCGAAGTAAAGCATTCCTCCCCTTTATGCTTTTGTTGATCACTGTCCCACCCCCTCCGTACCTGTTCATTTTGTAACAGTTTAATTGTTTAGAAGAATTGCTGAACCTCTGGAAGACCGGAACCAAATAAGGGCTTGAAAATGAAAGGCGAATCTAGTCGGTGTGCATGCCTTTTAAAAATTGTTTAGTATGACGGATTATCACTCACAGTTAGGTGGGGTGACTATTGAGTGCACTATCTATGCAAGCAATTCAAAACAGCATGTTCTCATTCGCAGTGAGTCCTAATTGTACTGCTGGTTTACTGTGTAGGATTTTTTTTCTATTTGACCTTATGACACCTGCCATTCCCAGAAACCGTATGTGCCATGCTTGCGTTGTCACAAATTGCTTACTTCAACGTACACCTTGTGCTTTACAGTGAAGCCAGATGGTGATACTCATTTGTGCGAAGAACTTGATTAATGGTTGCACTCTGCATGTTCGCATCGGCTGCTCATTTACCTTGCAGAAGCATTTCCTGTATGAACGCCAATGTGAACATTCTCCCAAAATTTTGACATGTTCTGCTCCAAATTGTCTTAAATTCCGTTTTAGCTGCTCCAAACATGCTCTAAGGCACAGTTCCTCCTGCTCCAAGTGTGCTCCAAAACAGACTTTTTTAAGCTCTAAAAATTGCTACAAATCATGAACTAGCTGGACCATGACTGTAAGATACCTTGATACATTTGCAACTTCGTTAGTGAAGATTTATGTAAGCAGCAAATGTGTAGGCACCAAAATGTCTGCTGAAAATTTATTAATTGCAAACGCATTTGTTTTAAAGGGTCAGTAAACAGACTCCGACTTTTTTATTTTTACACCCCCCAAACAAGCTCGCCAATTCATGCAGCAGACTGTGGCAATCACATTTCTCAAATAATTCAGCACGGCGCGCTGCGCAGACCCTTCATTTCGAGAAACAATTCCCTTGCCTTTTTTCTTCTGAACAATCCAGTGACGCAAACTTGCCCTTGGGCAACTTGACGTACTACTGAGCTTGTCTATTGGTCCTCTATCCAACGAAATAGCGTATTGGCCCTGTAATGATGCAGTTTTGGCCGCACAATACGCATTTCAACAGTTTCGTAGAGCCCAAGACTACTGGGAGCAGCGGTATTGTCACAAAAAAAGCCTCCTAAGTAAAGAGTTGCCTCGCGAGTCACTACTTTACCGCTAAGGGAAGGGTGCTCCTTGAATCATGCTTCCTCCCCGCACTGCTGTGATACGTGGTTATGCGGCCAAAATCCTACTCTGTCAGAGTCACGATGATGGGCTATACCTTTCTGTGATGAAGAAGGGTGGCAAGGCCGCTTGAAAATTTGAAACCTGCTGAAACAGATGTTCTAGCTCCTGTAACTTCCTTATTTTAACACGTATTCACAAAGTTCTTGCGGCAGCATGTTCAGATAGCAAAAGTGCATTAATTTCTTTTTGTTACAATTTTTGGACCTTGGGTTTGTATACTGGGTCTTAATCATTCTATTTGGACAGCATTTAGAGCACCTAAATAATTCTCAAGGACACCTGGTTGTCCAACTAGGCACAGGTCACATAATATGCATGGTTCATAGGATCGTCAGGTTGGATGGTGTGTGCACCATCCTACCTTGGAGGCCATGCTCGGATTCTACTCTAGTCCTCAGCAAACCAAGTTCTACACGATTTCTAGCAAATGACAATGTGATGCTGGTAATTAAAAATATATATATATTTTCAGTTTCTGTATGGAAAACACTTTTGCTCCATTTTTGTTTGAATTTTGCTGATATTCTAAATACAAGACTGTGTTGACGTTGCCGTATATCTACTCTAATACTAAATTAGGCTTCCTACTCAGTTCAACCTTTTTCAGCAGTTTGCTTTTGGGACTCTCACCTCAGATACCTTGCATTTTCATTCCAGGATTTCTGCCAAGGTTTGTTTGCAGGAAATACTGCGAAGAAATTCTCGCCGGACTCATGGTCAAGGCAACAAGAAAGGGTTCGGAATACATCGACTCCAAAACCGAGGCCGTGCTCTCCTTGGCGCGTGTTTGTGTCACAGCTGGAGTCGAGGAAGGAGGCGTAACTTTGTCCCAAATTGAAGCCGTACTTGACATCTTAACGCAAGGGATAGATGACTACACGCACTGTCCGAAAAGGGGAGATGCAGGAGCAAACGTCAGGAGGGCCTGCATGATGGCATTTAAGGTCAGTGAAGAGGCTTACAATGGCGCAGTTGCTGCTGCTCGCGCAGTGCATGTGCCCGAGTGCAATATTAATAGACATTTGTAGTCTACCAATAGCGTGATAGCGGATGTTAAGAGAATAGCGTTACCGTGCAGCAAACGTTCGTTGTGGACGTGGTTTCAGGGGAGCCACTGGTGGTTTATGTGTTCCAGCTGGGATGGTGGCGCCACCTATCGGAGGGTTGAGAAGTAAGAACAGAGAAATGGAAAAGTAAAGGAGAATGTCTGCCTGTGTCATCACGCAAAACATTAAGTTTATTTTAGTAATATTAAAAGTAAATAAATATGAACCACGCACCGAATGCGAAAACATTTATGTTGCCGATGTGTTTACATCGATATTGTAGTTAGGCCTAGACGCGTTCGAAATGGGAAGATATCTCAAAAGCTACGGCAACTTATCTGTAATACTAGGTCATCAAAGCTAACTAAAGGTAAGCAAAGCCACTTTAAACAGTCGTTCGCTGCAAACAAAGTGAATCTTTCAACAACTACGCCAAACTCACTTCGAAGTGGGCGTCCGAGAGCGCCGCCATGTTGTACGTACACCTACGCTACCACGGTAATGTTAAATCTGAAAAATAGCACGCATACAGTAAGTGGCACAGGTAACATACGTATCTGCGCACGTGTACTTCGATCCCGCTGTCGCGGTACGCCCAGTATCCTGGTAAGCCCAGTATACTATAACTGTATGATGACTCCGGCTCGGGTACCAACAGAGATTTTCAGTCATAGCCATGTGAAGCCAGTGGTTAATGAAGTAGAGGAAAGCATAGGGGAGGTTTTTATATGTTAAATATTCAATCTAGGTGTTAAAACTATAAGTGCAATTATATTTAAGAAAATGAACAGAAAACCAGCTTGCCTTCAGTTTTTCTTTACCGTGATATGTACACCTCAATTGACAGCTGCAATTATTACTCCTTGTGTACTCCCATTGATTCATTCTTTCTTGGCTTCATTAGGTTGTGCCTAAAAAAAATGAATGACTACTGAAGAAGACAAAAAGGATCACGTTGTGTTCGCTCAGTGGGTATAGTGCTCGACCAATGACCCAAAGGGCTGCCTCAATCCCAGCTGCAGAGATTGCATTTCAGCGGAGGTGCAAGAGGCCTGTGTATTGTGCTATGTCTATGTGCAATGAGTAACAAACCCCCCCCTTGTTTTTGCAGTTATGCGGATCCCTGCGCTACGGCATCTCTCGTAGCCTAAGTGCATTTGAGACATTAAACCCGATTAGTAGAGCTGTGAAAATAACAAAACTTTGGTTGAAAAAAGCGAATTCGAACATGAAAGCTTGAATGCTAGTCGAATATAACATTTTTCGTATACTATGAAGCGAAATTACAGCAAAAAAAAATGTTGCAGGGGATCGCTCAGCGTATTCTCATGAAGTAAAAACATGAAAGCTTACGGCTATGCTTGTGAAGTGCTGGAAGGGTGGTGCCAAGTGGTGTTTCCCCAGTTGCTTTGTAAAGAATGAGGCAATGCAGATGATGAATTGTGTTTGTGCATGTGATTTGGTGCAATCAAAGTGTTGTCACCACGCAGGTTTAGTGGTTACAGTGCTTGACGGCTTAACTTAAGGGTGCGGGATCAAATTACAGCTGCAGCAGTCGCATTTCAATGGAGGCGAAGTGGTAGACGCTCGTGTGCATAGATTTCGCCTTTCCAGATGGTCGGAATTCCCAGAGCCCTTCACTACAGCATTCCTCACAATCATGTTGTGGTTTCAGAATGCAAAACTCCGACAATGATCATGTTGTAAGCAAAGTGGTATCGACAACACTTCACACATGAAAGGAACTGATGTTCTTTGCTCGACCTCTCTTCCTCCTTCAATTTCTCAGGTAGCCCATCTGATGTGGCAGACTGATGATGTGCAGCAGGGCAGTTGGTTATGGTTCTCGAAATTTTATGGCAGCGAAAACCCCCTCTACCCCCTTTTTTTTTAAAAATCTGATGGATTTTCTTGCGACTTTGTGCTATAGACTGGTGCTTGTCCATATCTCAATCTTAACCCAAATGGGCCTCCGCCCACTGCTACCCAGGCATGCTGGTTCGGAGAGCAGGACAAATTTTTCAGCAACTAAGAGGCTTTATTTAGGAGAAATTCGTACGGATTTTCTTCTTGCTTTGTTCAGTAATGGGTACTTATCACTTTTCCTTTCTTTACCCTTCTGCCACCTTGCGGAATTTCACGGAACTAATTTGCAGTAGCCCATTTGGGTCGTTGCCTTATAAAAGTGGGCAATACATTTATATTTTACACCAGCACTATCTCGGTTGTTGTCCAATGAAAGCGTGCAGTACATTTATCATATTTGCACTAGCACGCGCTTTCTGTACTGAATGATCACGCTCCTCATGGTAGTGTCGGTGCTCGAGCAGCAATTGCGATGTTTGATCACAAGTGTGCACTTCTGAGCGCTGGTGCATGTTTGATCTCAACAGGCATCAGTAGCTGGCTTGTATACTTTTGTACAAACTCTGTTCTCACGGCTCACTTCGCATTGAGATGGGAGACCGCACGAAAACTGCTTCAATACCTGGAAAGGTTGTATTCCCTTGCACTAATGTTTGGCAGGCTTGAAGGGACTTTAAAGTGTAACAGTGACTTAGTTTTAGGTTGGTAAAGGGTACTCTGAGAACACTAATGTCGTAACTTTCATCATCATAAGTTTATTACTGTAGGTTATGTTTTACGAATGCTATAATGCGGTTAGGATACTCTTACTAACATCTGGCGATGTTGAGCATAGCCCAGGTCCCCACTCTGACTCTGATGCTCACTCCAGCAGCAACGAACTTTTAAAAAGGATACTTAAATAGTAGGTAAAAACAAATAAAACATTAAAAGACTTGGTCGTCAACGTTAGAAAGGTAGAAGCAGCTGATGATAGCATGGAGACCAGGCTCGCTGCAATTGAAAATGAAATGGTGACATTGAAAAAACATGAAGACAGAATAGCCACGTTGGAAAAAAACCACGTCGACATGGGAAAGCTAATTCATGATTTAAGGGGGCACATGGGTCTTGAAAGCGAAAAAAATAGCGAAAAAAACGATTTTTCAATTTTGTTGGTACTGCATTCAGGACATCTTCCTGCATGTTCTCACAAAATTCTAGGCTTGTAGAATGTTCAGTTCTGCCAGGAGAGAATATTTACTTCGCGAACTATCAGCTTTCACTCACGGAAAATGCCATAACTGTCGATGCAGAGAGAAAGAGGGGGTCTTCAGTAGCCTTTCAGGCAGCTGCTAAGCAGAGGCAGAGGGGAAAGCCACACCCAGATTATTCTCCAGGAGCCTTCTGAGCCACTGGCAGTTGTAATTGTGCTCATCCAGAAGATAAAGAGCTTTTTTTTCACATGGTCATTAGTTTTTTCCATTTTTCTCAGAACACTTTTTTGGGTTGTCTCCGCTTTTGTGGGGGGCTGTTGTTATCCTTCTAATCACCCAATTCTGATAGGATTTTTTTTTTAATCTGATAGCTAGGCTTCCAAAGAGTGCAAAATGCCTATAGTACAATGTTTCTTCACCGGGAAAAATTTTGAAAATCTGGGCACACGATAGACAGCAAATGCATGTTTCACGTTTAATGTTTCAACTTTCGTAATTTGGGATAAAATAAGTGTAGAAACATGAAATTATGCTTCTTGCATTCATTGAGCATTCAGGAATACACAAATGTAACATTTAGCTTTCTTATTAAAGTACATTTATTGCCAGTCATCCCAGAAGTAAAAAACAGAAAAAACTGTATAATTATTTTCTGCATAAGACACACAAAAACCAGTTGTATATTTGTAATCAGCACATTAAATTACTTATTACCCGCAAGTTTCATTACTCTAGCAGCAGTAGCAATAGATGTTTCACACAAGGCCCATGTGCTCCCTTAACTGTGAAGCTTGAAGCTTGATGACTTAGAGAATAGGAGTCGATTCAACGACTTGGTCATTTATGGCATCGCGGAGGAACATGAGGAGGATGTGAAATCACTTGAACACACTGTGTTACGTAGTATCTTCAAGGAGATATTGGGCCTTGAAATTAAACTCGTTCAACGTATCCACAGAATAGGCACACGAAGCGAAGATCGAACTCACCTGGTCATTATACGGCTATTTGATTATTCTGAGAAATCCGAAATTCTCTCCAGCTGCCTGAAATTCAAAGGCACTTCCTTTTCTATTTCTGAAGATTTTTCTAAGAGAATAAGGGAACTGAGAGCAAGATTCTGGCAATCTTCTGCAAGCAAAAGAGCAAGAGGCGCTAAAGTAAAGTTAATGTTTGACAAAGTAAAAGTTGACAGAAAATTATTTGCTTGGGATTCGATAAAAAATGCTAGACGTGGACTAAAGCAAAGCGTCCATTCCACTCGGACGGCCCACATAATTTCATCTAAGCATGGAAAACGCAATACAAACAACATGAATTGTCAGCCAACTACAAAAACTATCGGAATTTTGTCTTTGAATGCCCGGTACATTGTAAATAAATTCAGTCAACTATCACCTAGAACACTTTATCTTGTCGCATCAACCACACATTTTAGTGATAACTGAAACACGGCTACATTCAGGAGTGCGAGATTCTGAAGTAGTTCTCCCTTCCTACTGGCTGTTTCGTAAGAGTTGAGAATCAGGAGGAGGAGGGGTAGCAGTAGCAATTAAAAGTGATTTAAAATGTTCAGTGTTAGACGATATTCCAGGCCACGAAAGCTTATAGTGCAGAATCAGATGCTATAATAAGAGCATAATCTTGGAGGGCGTGTACAGGCCCCTGAATGCTGAGGCTGAATATCTTGAAAAGATGCACGACTATCTTCCGAGACACACGAATTTAAGGTCGAAAATTATTCTTGCAGGGGATTACAAATTACCTGGGATAAATTGGAATACTCTTTCACATGACGGACGGGAAGCACGTAGTTTGGATTCACTACTCTATACCGCATTTAGTTTTTTTGCTAGACCAATTGGTGACTGAAGATCCTCGAATAAGTTTGTCTTCATCGTCGCTCCTGGACCTAGTCTTTGTAAGCAGTACGCTACATGGATGCATTGTGTCTACGGAAAGTGGCATTTCAGATCACAAATTGATCATCTTGTCCGCTATCAACAGCCCGACACCACTAGAAACCACTACCCTTATTCATTACAGATTATGCGCGTGCAGACGACCCTGCCGTGTTTGGCTTCCTAGAGACTAACATTGTGTCCATCAACGAAATGACGTATGTGAACGAACTATGGTTTTCAAATGCATCGTGTCTTCTTGTGAAGAAAATTTTGTCCCACAAAAGAAAAAAACGTATCGACCGCGAATACCCTTGGTTACTCGGGAAATAATACACATGAAAAGAAAAATAAAGCGTCGATGGAAAAAAGACAGAAACACGAAAACCTACAACCTTATCTCGACTCTGCACCAGAAAATTGCAGATGCTAAGTCGCGCTTCCATAACGTCACATTATCATCATTCATGGAACGCAGCCCTCACAAATTTTGGTGTCATTTGGCTGATCAACGTGAAACAATTTCACAAATAAAAGTATGTGATTGCATTCTTTCTAAACCAGAAGGTATTGCAAATGAGCTAAACTTGTTTTTTCAATCTGTTTTCATGAAATCGTCCTCCAAAGCGCCGCTTGAACAATATGTGTTGGGAATGCCCATGCCGGAATTGACCATAAGTGAAGAAGCCATATTTTCTTTTCTAGAAAAACTGGATCTGAAGAAATCGCCTGGGCACGACAATATTACAAACTCGTTTCTATACCGATGTGCCATGTGGATAGCTAAATACTTGCATAAAATATTTATCACCGCTCTTGATACAGCGATGCTACCAGACGACTGGTGCAGTGCTAACATAACTCCAATCCATAAATCTGGTTCGAAATTTGAACAAAATAACTATCACCCAGTTTTATTAACGAGCACTTGTTGCAGTTTATTAGAACATATATTCTTTAAAGCCATAATACTCCACTTAGAAAACAACAAACTACTTTGCAGTCAACAACATGGATATGGATTTAGATCAGGGCTTTCTACTGTGACACAACTCGCTGAATTAACAGATGAAATTGCTAATGCAATTAATGATGGAGATCAAATCGATGCAACTTTTTTAGAATTTTTCAAAGCATCCGATGTCTTTCCAAATCAAGATCAACTTACAAAATTATTAGCATTTGCTATAGACCGTAACATTATTTCTTGGATCTCCAGTCTTCTGACAAATCGAACGCAAAGCGTGTTCATTGGAAAACAAGCTTCCCAACAGCTTCAGGTCTACTCAGGGGTCCTGCAAAGGTCCGTTCTTGCCCCCATTCTATTTCTTATGTATATTAATGGTATTTAGTTCTGTATTCAAGGAATTGTACAAGTGCGGCTTTTTGCAGACAATTGTGTAGTATACACAGTAGCATGTCATCTAAGAGATCAAATACAACTGAATAATTCACTGCAATCTATCTGTTCCTGGTGCAATACATGGGCCATGAGACTTAACGCATCAAAAACCAAGTGCATTACATTCACCAACAAGAAAAACCCAATGAATTCCAATTATACCCTTGGTAACACCGCACTCGTGAAATGTCATCAGATAAAATACTTGGGCCTTATCCTCACATCTCATCTCAATTGAGAACCTCACATCTCTTTCATCTCTCAGACTGCCGAACGCAAACTATCTATTTTACGAAGGAAGCTACGTAACACCCCACCGCATGTAAAAATAAATGCCTACAAAACACTTGTTAGACCCTCATTAGAGTATGCTGATTTGATCTGGAGCCCTTATCAAAAACACCCAATTGATAAAATTGAACCAATTCAAAAACTAGCCAACAGATTCATATACTCAGAGTATTCTAGACAAGTGCAGCGTCTCTGAACTATTAGCGAAAGCAAACCTTGAAAATATTTCACAACAAAGAATAGTCTCCAAACTTAAATTCATTTATCTCCTGTCCCATCATTATTTCGAAATTCCGAAGTCACGTTATTTACGTCATCCTTTTCTGCACTCATCAAGAACTAACCACAATAAGGCAATCAGACAACCTTCAAGCCGCATTAATATTTACAAATATTTACTGTTTCCCTTGGCAATCGCTCAATGAAACATGTTACCAGAGACTGTTGTGAATTGCATTACTGTGGAATCATTTGTTGCAGAGGTGCGCGCCATTCATTTCTGTTCGTAATTGTGACTTTCTTTTTTTTCTTTAAAACTCTTTATTTTGTACTCTGCAATCATTCCTGCAAAGGCTGATTGAGCCTGCAGTATGCTTAAATAAAAAAATTAATAAATAAAAAATCAAGGTTGAAGTTTTATCTTTCAATTTTGAGTCGAAATCTCCGCACATCACGTCACGAATTTCAAAACATATTTTTCGTATTTCGAACGGAATTCTCTGAAACTTGGTATGTTAGGTCCATAGTTCCCCCAGATGACAAACTATTTCATTTTTACCGATTAGGAACTGCATAAAATGTGGCAGACACCGTCAAAATTTTCTACGTCGTGGTGCTTGGCGAGGAAATCTCAAGGCGGTGTCTCCACCCGCATTTCTTTTTCGCGCGTTTGCTCGCTGACCAAGCGTCGTATCGCGGTAAGAGTAGCATTTTTGGGAGTGTAGAATTGTACTTTACTAATACACAAAAGGTTGGTTTTTTTTTAAGAGATTGGACACTCAAGATATTGCTGCTAGCCTTACTTCCAATCGAATTTGTTCTTATCACATTCACTGCTTTGATCTTGCAGGAGAACTTGGGATCCAATTTGTTGCTATTATTGCATTCATTGCTTTGATCTTGGAAAGAAACTTTTTTGATTGTTTGTATGTGATAGAGTTGTCTGAGATGTCATCCTGATGCGGTCTTGTGTGGCTGCCATTTTGCCTTCATTCTTTTCGAAAGCTCATATCCGCCGTGGTGGTGTTGTGGTTGTGGCACTTGACTGCTGATTCGCTGGCTGCTGAAGTCATGAGATCGAATCTCCTTAAATTTAGGTGCACGCGGAAGCGTGGAGGCTTACAAAGAAGGTTCAGCTTAAATTATGGACGACGCAGCGAGCGATGGAAAAGAAAATGATAGGTGTAACCTTAGGAAACAAGAAGAGAGCAGAGTGAGTCAGGGAAAAAACTGCTTTTAAGGATATCATAGTAGAAATCAAGAAAAAGAAAATGGACACGGGCGGAGGACGTAGCACTTAGGTAAGTCATTGAGGGTAACTGACTGGATACCCAGAGAAGGCAAACACATGAAGGGGAGACAGGAATTTAGCTCGGCCGATTAGATTTAAAAGTTGCGGGTATAACGTTTGTCCTGCAGTAGGTGTAGTCAGGCTGCTGCTGCTGCTGCTGCTGCTGCTGCTGCTGATGATGATGATGTGTGTAAAAACACCTGATGGTCAAAATTTTTGGAGCACTGCACTGCTGTGAAACTCGTAACTATATCATGATTTTGGGATGTAAGACCCCAACAAGAACATTTCGTTGTTTATCTGCAACGGCAGCGCCGCAATCACTCAAAAGTTGAAATCATAGCGTGACTAGTCTATACATTTTCAGAAAAGACAGAATACCTGTTGTATCAAATTGTTGGATCAGGCGAGTTCAATTCCTGCCATAAAAAGTTATTTCTATATAATACGTAGGATATGCACTAATCGGCTGGCATCGGATGACCCACTATGGTTTCAGCGAACATTGAACTTATTCGGTTCTGTGAGACTCAGTCGGAGATTTATTACAGCTATGTCTTAGTTGTTAGTGTGTTTAAAGCAAGTGATAATAAAGAGGTTTGGAAAGAATGCGATTGCGAGCATACGTAAGAAGTTGACGAAACTGTGTTGCCGAAATGTAAGGGCTGCTCAGTGTATCGTGCTGCAATGATCCAAAGAAAGCACGCAAACAAGTCACGACTTGTCTCTGCGTGCAGCTCGTTGCTTGCCTTGCGCGCAAATTTTTTTTAAATGAGCAGTTCCACGTCCTTGCGTAAGCATTTCATGTTTTTTGAGATTGCAGTGACACGGCACGACTTCAGAATGGTGTACAGGAAGCTTTTGGAATGATGACAGGGTTGGCATTATGAAGACGTCACCATTAGTAGCACATGCTTTGCCAAGAATGTGCATGCAGCGGGATCCAATCCCGGCTTTGGCAGCTGCATTTCCGATGGAGGCGGAAATGTCGTAGGCCCGTGTGCTCAGATTTGGGTGCGCGTTAAAGAACCCTAGGTGGTCAAAATTTCCGGAGCCCTCTACTACGGCGTCTCTCATAATCATATGGTGGTTTTGGGTTTTTGAACCCCACAAATCAATCAAGAATGTGCATGCAGATGCGTGTGGCTACTTTAACGGGCTAGCTGACAGCCTTCAACATTTTAGTTGGCCCACAAGGGCAGTGCACAACAGTGGCAGCATGTATGAAAACTTTAGTTGCTTTATCTATAGCAATTCTCAATTTTCTTGTGCTCGTTATTGCTTTTACTTCTGTTCTGAACACAGCTAATTCTTTTAATTATGTGCATTGCAGGAGCTGATCTGCTACCTTGCATCAGTGGCACCCAGTTCTATTCCTGAAGCACCGGTCAAAACTTTGGTGTGTGCCTTAGCTCAGCAGAGTGTGGAGCCTGTGGATAACGTGTGCCGCCTGGCGATAACGACTTTCATTGAACTGCTGTACAAGTAAGACTACACACCGCACTAGTAATTAGTTTTCATGAACAATACATATATAGGTGTCGCATCTATTTTTATCCAAGGGCTAAAAATACAATACTAGAGGCAGGCTAGTGAAATCAGTTGCATACTGCTGACAGCCATCTTGTTCACTGCAAATAAGTTTTTTGTTTTACAATTAATCAATTTGTTAGTTATGATGACCTGACTAACTCACTTAATGTTGGCTTTAGGCAAGAAATGAGACTCGCAAAGTTTGAGAGCGTCTTCAAAAACCTCCATTGCATTATTGTGATAAAGGAAGTCTCGCGTGTACCGTTATATCCAAGCTGCAAAGAAAACCCGGGAAATACGAAAAAATAAAAACGACAGCGTAACTAGTGCATTCGTGCACCGCGAACGTGCTGCTCTCACCTGTGGTTTGAGCGAATGAAATCAGCTGTAGCTGCAGCTCGCCATGATCCCTCGCAGCGGTGGGCTGATAAATAATCGGTGGTTTTTCGGGCTGCGCTGAATACAAGTCACGCGCCAGCTGACTCGCAACAGACCCAAAAAAGTCACCACCTAATTAATGGCCGACCACTGCAAGGAATGGTAGGGCAACGTGTAAGTGTTCCAGGTGGGAGATTGCACTCTGTCCTTTTGGGCTCAAACAACTTGTTTCGGTCATTGCAGCGTGCCCGAGATACCGTACATTCCCCAACTAGATGAAGCACGCAAGATCCTGCCAGCCGACCTGGCAAGCATTATCAACCTTCGGCAAGCCAAGGAGACGTTCCCCTACTGGAGCCGGATGCTTATGCTCGACTCGTACCGTCAGTCTCTGCTGAAGGGCTTCCTCGTCAGTGTTGGCGGCATGTCTGAGCAATTTGTAAGTTATTCGGGTGAAGGCGCTAATTTTCTTAGTCATAGCAGTGTATGCGTATGAGGGAGAGAATCAAAGAGGCCACGCATTCCTGCTAGTATTAAGGCTACAAAAAATTTGTGCGCACGGTGCAGCAGTGAAATGTGGGAAAATTGACCAAAGGAGAGCGACTGATATTGATTTTCAACTATTGTGTTTTAGGGGATGACGTAGACTTCGTGAACGAGCACTGCTATTGTGTTTTGAAACATGTGGTTGTAGTTGGATTAAACCAGGCAAAATATTCATATTCGCATTGTAATTAGAGATATGTCGACAGTATATTTTAGGTTCTAAGCAAATTCGAAGCGAATAGTAATTTGTTTTAGTAACTTTAGTAGAGTAGTGAGGTTAGCGTATATATCTTGTACTTTAAAAAAAAGTGAGCGTATTCATCCTAACCCAACTAACCTGCATAATATATTTAAAAGTAAGAACAAGGCGCATGGAAGTGTCTTCTGTTTTTCTTTTTTCAAGTGAAGTGAAAACAGCTTTACATTGTAGCAAGATATCAATTTCATTAGGATGCTACTGATAAGTGGTGAAATACATTATAATTCAGAAATTTACTGCACTTAGTGCATATAGGCCCATATAACAAGCTTTCAAACTTGACTTACACGTTACTTAAACTAAACTGTAAAAAAAGTTATTTGAGGTGCAGGTATACATAGAATACATAGAACTGTGGCTTTGCAAAAGTGCACATCCGTTTGGTAATGGATGGATTCATGGCATGGCACTCCTTGGTACAGTGAAACCTGTTCTACAGGGGCATTACATGCACTCAAGTATACATGTAACTCGTTTTTTAGAAACTTCGAATAAGGAAAATTTGTGGCAAAGCGAATTCGAATATTGAAATATTTGCTCGAATATTTGAAATGTGTGAATATTCGCCCATTTCTAATTAGCTAATGTGGGCCCATTTCGGTGGAAGTTGTTGTCGAAGAATGAAGTCATGATTCGTGCTATAGGAATTGTTTCAAGTTCGGCGTCTTTTTTAAAAAAAAAACCTCTCATTGACGCTGTACTAGACTGCTCACTTGTCCCACGGTCCACGAATAGTAAGCTTGTCCATGTTAAGTGGCTGAGCTGCAGTGGAGATTTCCAGCTTTTCATATCTTGAAGCAGGTGTCATACAGAACACACTGCATTACCATAATGACATGGTTAAATGTTATCAAAGCGTGAGAGGTTGCGGCAGCAGCGTACCCCAGTGCTGTAAGTTGAAAAGTGGCATCAGTTCAAACGAGGGTCAAGCTTCAGCTTTGGCTGGCTGGTCTGTTAAAGGGTCCCTGCAACACTTTTTGAGCATGGTCTGAAAACGCTGCCGATCGGTAGTAGAGGTCCTCGAGAACAAACGATCCAAATATAAGAGCGCAGCACGCGGCCTGGCATTCACAATAAATTATCAGAGTCAACTAAAAGTTGCTTTCTTTTCTCTCGAGAAATGACGAAAGATGCTCAAAAATTGTGCGTAGAAGGCCATCTATCAGCCGTGGGCTGATTTGGACATGGCACGCTCTGTCGTTACAGAGATATTCGCGGGAGGCCTTGACTTGTCCACGCGTGCGCACGCGATCACATGAAAAAAGGCGTGTATTTTAAGAAGAAAAAAGAAGTGGCCAAGGTCACGATGTGTACGTAACGTATTTTCTTTGCTTCTGCCATCTCTCCCTGCTTAACCTCCAGCACTTTTGCCGGGGCGAGAGGAGAGAGCACGTGCCCCGCAGGGGCGTCTGCGCAAGCAGGCGTTTGGTGTGTAGCGACACCACGGACCCGAGCTAACGGGGGAGTTTCTACTCCCTCCCACGCCTAGCCGTGCATGGCTTTGCTGTGTCCGGGGAAAAGGGGATCCTGGGGGTTGAGGCGACGTCGGGTGATTCGACCATTAAGGCCCCCCGGCAGAGGCAACACACCCCTTTGGCCCCGGCTTCATGTAGACGGCACCCCTGGGCTAACCCACCTAGGGGAAATCGGCAGTCGCCTTTTCCTATCTCTCTCTACCTACATCTTCGTCTTTGTCTCTCACCTTTTATCTGTCCTGTCATCTTCTCTTTTCCGTTTACTTCCAAATTTTCTGGCGTCAAGGGTTAACCCTGTGTAGTTACCCAACCTTGGGTAGTTATATTCAGTTATAGCGGCGATGCATTGCTGGCGTCTCCAAGTGTTCACTATTCAACCTTGTAGCGTCCCCTTGTTGGGCTCGGTTGTGGGTGGCCACCATCGCCGCCGAACTGTACACAATCTGTATGGCCAACTTTTTCCCCCTCTCCCTGATTGCCACCCCAAAAGGTGGCGCACTGAAGAACCATTTCTTTTTTCCAAACTGAAGCAGTCCTTTCCCAAGTTTCATGTCGTCCATAGCCAAAAAGAGAACAAAACAGTCCGAGCAATTTCATCTTTTCTTGTCTCGAAAACGCTCACCGAAGCAATCGGCCCAGGATACCGTGTAACGAAGTTGGGAAGAGGCGACGTCCTTGTGGAGGTTCGCGACAAGCTCCAATAGGACAATTTACTCAAACTGGTAGCGTTTGGGGATGTCCCAGTCTCAGTGGCCCCACACAGGTCGATGAATATAGTGGGCGGCGTGGTCTCTGATGACGACTTGCTTGTACTGTCCGAAAGTAAATTATTAGAAGGCTGGCAAGACCAGAATGTAGTCAAGGTCCAAAGAATAATTATACGACGAGACAAAAAAGAAACACTTACGAAACACGGTACCAGTGACTTACCTGATTCAATTGAAGCTGGCTATTGCAAGCTCCGTATCAGGCCCTATGTGCCAAACCCTCGCAGATGTTTCAAGTGCCAGCGCTTTGGACATGGGTCACAAAGTTGCAGAGGGCGCAATACTTGCGCAAAATGTGCATTTAATGAGCACGCATCAGATACGTGTAATTCAAACACATCATGTTGTGCAAACTGTGAAGGAGACCATGCTGCCTACTCGAGATTGTGCCCAATCTGGAAGAAAGAAAAACAAATCCTTGAGATTAAAGTGAAGTTCAATCTGTCCTTTCAAGAAGCACATAAACGGTTCTCCATCCATCAGTCCAGTTCCTCCTTCGCCGATGTGACACGCCGGGGCGCCGCGCCCCATCTTTCCGTGCCCGCAAAAGTCACAGAGAGTGATACTGCGGGCGAGCCGCAAGCGCCCTCGGCTGGAGCAGTCAGTACTGCTCCGCCACCTAACAAACAGGGCCAGCAGACTTCCCAGTCTGCCGGACCTCGAACCACTGCAAGTGCAGTTAGGTCTGAAAGTTCTGTGAATGTGCCTGCCGAGCAGGCACCATCCACCACCTCACAAGGGGCGATGGGTACAAGTACGACTCCTCCGGCGCCCGAGACGCCGTAAGAGAGGCGCAGCTCTTTGGAGCGCGCCAAAAAAAAAAAAAAAAACTCAAATTACAGGGCACCCAAAAAGCCCTGTAACCTAAGGCAACACTTTTGCACACACAGCACCACACAAGACTAATTTGACTCAAATACTACAGTGGAACGTCAGAGGACGGCTGAGAAACCTTGACGATATCCAGGAGCTCTTACACGAACATACACCAAAAGTGCTGTGTGTGCAAGAGACACACTTCAAACCAAAACACACTATAGACGAAATTCCAGAACCTTATATTCTCCTTGGAGATTTCAATGTGCATAGCAATCTATGGGGTGACTCTCGCTGCGATGCTCGAGGTCGCCTGATTGAACGGTTCCTTTTTACTTCTGGCGCGTGCCTTCTAAATCGGAAAGAGCCCACATACTACTGCCTCGCCAGCTATACCTACTCGTCAGTAGACCTCAGTATTGTCTCACCATCCCTCCTTCCTTTACTGACATGGAACGTCATCAATAATCTTTACGGAAGTGACCACTTTCCAGTAATTCTAGGCACATCCATATCAAATGAATATCGCCCACAGGTCCGCAGATGGATCACTGACAAAGCTGATTGGAAATTGTTCTCGCAGATTACTCACTTAAGTTGGACTGACCTATCCAGTTTAAACATAGATGCAGCTGTACAATACTTTTCAGCTTTCCTGATCGACGCTGTGATGAAATGCATCCTGCAAACTTCTGGACTGCCTGGCAAGTGACGTGTCCCATGATGGAACTCTGAATGTCGCAATGCATGCAAACAACGAAACAAAGCGTGGAGGTTGCTACGGGACTCGCCGACAGCAGAGAATCTTGAAAGCTTTAAGAAAATTAAGTCCCAAGGAAGGAGAGTGCGCCGGTAGGCTAGGAAAAAAAGTTGGCATAAGTTTTTATCAGGCATCACTTCATATACACAAGAAACAAAAGTCTGGAACATGGTTCGCAAGGTAGCAGGACGACATGCATCTTTGCATCTTCACTACCTTTCGTAGACACACAAGGGGACACCTTGGAAGACCTGGCGAACTTCCTCGGTGCCCACTTCGAAGAGGGGTCCAGCTTGTCGCATTATACTGCAGCTTTTTAACGACACAAAAGAAAATCGAAAAAGAGAAACTACAGCAAAAATCTTCTAAACATGAGTCGTATAACAACCCTTTCTGTTTGGCCGAGTTACAAGCATCGCTATATGTCTGCAATAAATCAGCTCCAGGTTCGGACCGTATAGTATACAAAATATTACAACTGCCTCCTCAAACGCAAAGAACCCTGCTTTCCCTGTATAACACTATTTGGCTTTCCGGTGAAGTCCCTTCTGCCTGGAAAGAAGCCATTATTATTCCGATTTTAAAGCAAAGCAAGGATCCATCTTCTGTAAGTAGTTACAGGCCAATCGCACTTACAAGTTGCATGTGTAAACTTTTTGAAAAAGTGATAAATTGCCGACTTGTACATTACTGTGTACTTTCTGTGTTCCTCGATATCGAAAAAGCCTACGGTACGACATGGAGATTCAAAATATTAATGAGACCTGTCCAATCTTGGTGTTCGTGGCAGGATGTTTATTATTATCGAAAGCTACT